CAGTGCATTTTATGGAGGACTGTTTCCTGATCCTGGGAGAGTAGACTACAATGCCGGCTGTTCTGACTCACAGACTGTAAGTACGTTTTTTATATTTAAAGAATTTGCCACTGATGATTCAAACGTGAGTTTTGAGCAGTGTAGAGTAGCGCTTGTTGTTTGTCGTTTCTCCGATCACAAATGCAGACATGGTTTTATGTTTACGCGGCACGATGCAACGCAACGTGTAAAAAAAACAGTATAAGTAATTATAATCAGTAATTATGTCCCCACTGGATGCAACAAATGCCTCGTTTATAATGGGTTTTATTGGTTTTGTCTCGTCGCGCCGGGACATGGCATCACAGTATGGTAAGGGGCGTAACATTTCCGTCAAACGCTTGAGGAATTCGGCCAATCACAACGCACTAGATAGCTGGCCAATCAGAGCACCTAGCTTTTCAGACCGATGAGCTTTGTAAAAATCGACGCATTTTAGAAAGGCGGGGCATAGAGGAGAAACAATAATGTACAGTATGTGGAAAAAAATGTGTTTTTTGAACCTCAAACCGCATAAACACATTTCATTACACCGAATACACAAAATAATGTTCTTTTTTAGCAACGTCATATGACCCCTTTAACCACTTACCAACATCGTCAGTCTGCTGTGAGATACAGATGGTGAGGAGGTGCTCTAAAACAAAGCCTCACCCTCCGTTTTTCCTCATTCAAAATTCCATTTCACTTAGAAATATGTCACAATGCTAGATTACAGTCAGTCGCAATATCTGTTTCGAGCTAATTTTACAGTACAGCCACATCAGCAACATTTTGTCCACAGAAGTCACTTTCAAACCAAGAAGCTTTCTGTTGGTCAATGCAGATTAAAATTAAGACCTGCAAAACTAATGTGAACCTGTGGCGAAATCTATGTGAGGAAATCTTTCACCCTTCTGTAAAATTCCTGACTGTGTGGAATTTTGTTGAAATGACTGGATTTCACTCACGAACATTTGCCGAACGGCAGTAAATCTGACCACACTTTTTTGTCATTTTGTTGACAGCTGAGCTACTACTAAATACTTTTAAGGCTAATTCAGACTGCACCAACATTGGCGTTGGTTTGTGATTATTTTTGCGATTATACATGTTCAGTTGCCATTTGTCGGGTCATGATCTGAAAAGTGACGTACTGTAATTTGGTGATTTGTCGGCGTCTGTCGGTGCAATGTGAAGTAACCTTTAATTAGCGACTCGCCAACATTGCTGTTAGCAGTGTCATTTGTATGTGCATTCGGTTTACTTGAGAATTGTGCTGGATTATGTTTGGACATATGTTAGGATGCTTTTTCCGAACACTGAGTTATTTTTCCCATGTTGACATGACAGCTAACGTTGCACAAATAATCCCATGTGTCTTCTGGTGTGTTCTATGCTTAGTTAACCGCCGACATACCCTGGTAGACCGGCTGAGTCTGACAGCCTGGCCAGAAGTCATGTCTACAGCGCCAGTGGCGGGACGTCAGGGTCTCGTGGTGGCCCATTTGTTCAAATGCCACCGCTCCGATGTGCCTTTTCACACTTGGCTCTGACCATTCGTCCGGCTGAACGCACCCCTGCGTCTGTCCAGAGGGCTGTTACTCCATCAAACAACCCTCCTCTCTGCTGTGACAGCAGGACAGAAGGTGCTGTGGGCACTCGTTGCTGACACAAAGTTAGACAAGGCTGTGGGCACCGTGTGCACAGATGGACCTGGCCCAGCTCAGCGCCGTTCACGCCGAGATTCCCAGCACAGATGAATTAATGCCAGATATCACGTTCATGCGAGAGGAATGGCTCATTATTAAAAAATGCTCCGGAACAATCCATATGTGTTTGAGATCGCATGCATGGTCATTGCTGTGCTTAAGGGCATTTATACCCCCGCTTCGCCAGACAGGAGCAGACTGCGTTATTGGCTACTAATGTACAGGCCATGAGAGCTTCATGTCTTTATTAGAGACTTCATCTCAGTCCTTTAGTACTCTAGCTCAAGGCTTCTCATTATTCACTTTGAATGACTGTGACGTTTACCTCAGTGTCCGAGGTGGGTGATATATTTGGGGCACAAAATAGGCTCTACCGGTAGTGACGACCCTAGTAAAAAAGTAATATATTTAAAATACATTTATTTCATACTAAAAGGAGTTCAAATCTATTAACGTATTTACTGACATATCACTTGAGACTTACTGATAGAAAAATTTAAATTAAACTTAAAATGTGCACAATGCACATTTCTTAATATTAAGTCTAAAACACATTTTAGACTTAATATTAAGAAATGTGCATTGTGCACAAGTAGTACTCCAAATAAAGTTTAATTATAATTTTTATATCTGTAAGTCTCAAACGATATGTCCGTAAATATGTTAATAGATTTGAACTATACTTAGTATGAAATAAATGTATTTGAAATGTATTACTTTTTTACTAGGGGACATGTGGGTTTTTCCAGAATAGCTATTTTTAATTATGAATAAAACAGGGTCTGTGGTTAGCACTACTTGAAGAGACTTTTATATGTAAAGTCAAGTCAAATCATAAGTGTGAATTTTGAAAACATTTTGGTAATCATCACAGATAGGTCATTTTAAACCTGAAACCCCATTAGAAATTCTTAAAGCTGCAGTCCGTAACTTTTTTTTGGTTAAAAATGATCCAAAATCAATATTTGAGCAAGTACATAACCAGCCAGTGTTCAAAACTATCGCCTTACTTTAGCCCGATTTATAACGGTCATCTTATAATAATGTTTTCTAATTTGAGTGGTACGGGTAGGTTTTCGCGGGAAATTTGAGTATGGCACTGCGTCATTACATCACGTCTGGAAAGA